AATTCGCTGTTCTAGATGTCATTAAGAACACTTGTGATTTGTGGGAAGAAGTCTAAATAGCAACATTAACAGAACTTGGAAGAAGTTGATTCCAACCCTCAGGAATGACTAGAGGGGTTCAAGACTTCGGTGAAGGAAGTAACTGCAGGTGTGAAGATGGCAAGAGAACTAGACTGGAAGAGGGGCCTGGATGATGTGACCACATCGCTGCAATCTCATGATGAAATTAACAATGGACATTTTTATGGATGAACAAAGAAAGGGGTTTCTTTTCCTTCTTTCTTTTTTTTTTTTAAGAAAGTTTATTTAGAAAGTTACAGAGGTAGAAGTGAGCCAGTTGGGCAGCATAGACTCAGGAAAGAAGTAACAGAAGCAAAATAAGGGCCCTTGGAGCGCAGAAGGAAAGGTAATGGTAACATGCCTGGGGAGGTGGGGGTAGGGAGAAGATGACAGCAAAGGTGGGGCATGCTCCCCAGAGGTAGTTTCATGGCAAAAAAACCACCAGAGCCCTGGCCGGTTTGGCTCAGCAGTTAGAGCATTGGCCTGCGGACCAGAGAGTCCCAGGTTTGATTCCCGTTAAGGGCACGTACCTCGGTTGCAGTTTGTCCCTGGCCCTTGTTGGGGTCGTGTGAGTGGCAACCAGTTGATGTGTCTCTCTCACATCAATGTTTCTCCCTCTCTCTTCCTCCCTCTCTCCCTCCCGCTCTATCTGAAGATAAATGCAAAAATGTCCTCTGGTGAGGATTAAAAAAAAACCAAAACACCAGAAAGTGATTTCTTATTCCTGGAGAAGATTGTTGACATGACGACAAAGGATTTAGAATATTACATCAACTTTGTTGATAAAGCACCAGCAACTTTTAAGAAGACTGACACCAAGAAGTTCTACTGTGGATGAAATGCTATCAAACAGCAGCGCGTGCCACACAGAGAGAAACTGGTAGTGAAGGAAGAGTCAGTCCATGCCGCAGACTTCACTGTTGCCTTATTTTAGGAATTTGCCATAGCCACCCCCACCTTCTGCAACCACCATCCTGATCAGTCGGTAGCCATCAACATTAAATGATATTTGTCCACTGTTTATACTGTTATATAATATTGTGTAAGTTTTCAAATTGCAAAAACATATCCATGCATAAATATATCCAAAGCCCTCGCCGGTTTGGCTCAGTGGTAGAGCGTTGGTCCTCGGACCAATGAGTCTCTGGTGTGATTCCGGCCAAGGGCATGTACCTCAGTGGTGGTTCGTCCCTGGCCCTGGCTGGAGTCATGCAGGAGGCAACCAGTCGATGAGTCCCTCTCACGTCGATGTTTCTCTCTCTCTCTCCCTTTCTCTCCCTCCCACTCTATCTGAAGATAAATAGAAAAAGAAAAAATATATATATATATATCCAAAAACAAAAGATAAATACATATTCTGCAATTCTGGAGTTTGATGAATTAGAATGGGACAGTTCCTTACAATGGGTACAGTTACAGATTTTTGTCAGGTAGATCTAGATTCAAATTCTGCACCTCTATTCATTAACTGTGTGTCCTGAAGTCTCTGTTTCCTCATCCATCAAAAGGAGATGGTACCTGAGCTTTGGTGTGAGGATTATTTAGATCAGGAATTACACTGCCTTTCAATAAATGGTGGCCACCAAGTAAGAATGACTATCCTCAAAAGATAAGTCCACCAAGAGACCCTTCGAGTCAGTGCGACTTTGACAGAGTCAGAAATCAATTAAAGGGGAGAAGCACAAAAGGTACCCCAGTGTAGGGGAGGAAAAATATTTAAGTTCAAAGCTGGGTCTCCGTTAACAAAAAAGAAACAGATTAGCAAGAGAAAACCAGAAGTTTATTAATATGTATATCACATCCATACATGGGAGAAACTCAAGGATGAGTAACTCAAAGGAGTGGCTGGAGCTTGGGTGTAGATAGCATCTTCTTAAAGAAACAGCCCTGGCCGGTTTGGCTCAGAGGTTAGAGCATCCACCTACGGTCCAGAGAGACCCGGGTTCGGTTCCCACTAAGGGCATGTACCTCGGTTGCAGTTTGTCCCCGGCCCTGGTTGGTCGTGTGGGTGGCAGCCACTCGATGTGTCCCTTTTACATCGATGTTTCCCTCTCTCTCTCTTCCTCTCTCTCCCTCTCACTCTGTCTGTGCAAAAAATGGAAAAATGTCCTCGGGTGAGGCTAAAAAAAAAAAAAAAAGAAAGAAACAATGAATTCGGTGCTGGGCTTCCAAAGGGGAGAAACTGGGAAGGTAAACATAGGGGAGAAACTAAGGGAGTAAGGTTCGCAGACTCCTCTGGTGTCTTCTCTAGGCTGAGAGTCCAGGGCAGTCTCTAGTAAAAGAAATATACATCCTGCCTTCAGGCAGACAGGAGGGTAGAGAGAGCTCTTCCGATTCTGCTGCTTCTTCATTGCCTTCAGTTCAAAGTAACTCTTATGTCATAGGGGCATACTTTGGGGTGACATATTCTGGTTTCCTTCACCAGTAATTTTAGCATTTCATACCATATGAGCTTCACTATTCCGAGGAGAGGGTATTAATAAGGTCTATGCTTCTCAAGGCTGCTTGACACCATATGTACATATATGGTTATAGTTATATACCTGTTTTAAACATATACATACATGTATACATACCTATTTTAAACAACAAAATACTTCTTGCCATTATAGTCAGGCAATTCTTGTAATTGTGTGAAAAGTGAAGAGCTGATTGAATTAAGCGAATTACTTAAGCAACAGAAAGATAAAATGATTAGGTGAATTCCATTTGATGTCATAATTCCTCTGCCTCAGGGAGAGTTTTTTAAATCAGATGAATCAGAGAAAAAAATTAAATAAAATCAGATGAATCAGCCCGGCCTGTGTGGCTCAGTGGATTGAGAGGTCCCGGTTCGATTCCTTGTCAGGGCACATGCCCAGGTTGCTGGCTTGATCCCTAGTGAGGGATGTGCAGGAGGCAGCAGATCAACGTGTCTCTCTCACATCGATGTTGCTATCTCTCTCTCCCTTTAAAAAATCAATAAAAACATATTTTAAAATATGATAAAATCAGATGACTCAGTAGTAGAGTAGGAAAGGAGAAAAACAAAGGGAGGGAGGACCAGAACACAGAAGCTAGGTAGAGATGTACAATGAATGACCATGGATGACAGCTTTTGTGGTTTTTATTTTTCAATTGCAGTAGAAATTCAATATTATTTTATATTAGTTGCAGGTGTACAGCATAGTGGTTAGACATTTAATTTACAAAGTGAACCCCCCTCCCGTGATTAGTCTAGTACCCACCTGGCACCATACATAGTTACTAGCTCTTGTGATTTTTTTTTCTTTTTAATATTTTTTCTTTATTAATTTTTTGAGAGAGAAAGAGAGAGAGAGGAAGGGAGAGAGAGAGATAGAAACATCGATGAGACAGAACATCTAATGGCCACCTCCTGCATGCCTCCCATTGGGGATGGGGCCCACACCCGGGCATGTGCCCTGACTGGGAATCCAACCAGTGACCTCTTGGTGCATGGGTCGACGCTCAACCACTGAGCCACACTAGCCAGGCTCTTTTTTTTTTTCTTCTTCTATTATTTTTCCTTTTTGTTGATTCTTTTCTAGCTCTTGTGATTTTTAAGAAGTCTTAATTGAAAGCTTCTGGTTTATTCAGTATGATGCTCACTGCCTGCACAGCCACGATGATCTGAACTACGATTCTGGCCATTTTCCTGCACTCTCCTCACTACCCCAAACCAAGCCAAACCCAAACCAAAAACACACACTGAAGACGACTCTTAGCCCGGCTCTGGTGACATGGCCTCTTTTTCCACCTCTCCATTCCCTGCCTACACTTATCGAAGTGCTTTTTTAGTTGCAGAAAAACAAGCCATTTCACAGTCTATGCATTTTCTCTGGTTTCCTTGGCCTGAAATGCTATCCCCCAGCAGGGTGTGGCACCCAAGAAATGTTTATGCAATTAGAATGAATCCATGTTTGGTCACCAATGACCCAGTGATCTCCACCACATACCTTGGACCCAGAATCTCTAAACTGTACCTCAAAATCGCCATGCTTGTAACTGCCGCCAAGACACACGTCCCGTTTGCAGGGTTCGAAGTGTACTAAGTCACCGTTACTCATTTAACGTGGGTTATGGCTCCAGGCTGGGGCTAACCCTGATCAGCGAGAGAAGAAAGAGAAATCTAATTTTCAGGAAACAAATACTCCGGGTCCGCTCTGGTTTAGAGCTGAACCGTGGGCAGCACGCGAGGCCGTCCAGCCTGGCTAGAGCTCAGGCCCACCTGGACCCCTACCTGCCTCTACTCTCTACGTTTTCAGGTGGACACCATCCAGGTGGGTGTCACATCCGTGCCGCGTGTTCTGGCAAAGCCCTCAGAACCCTGAGCCCAGGTCCAGCCCAGCAGCCGCAGCAGCGCGGCGGGATGGGGTGGGTGTCACCGCAAGGCGGCTACCCTCGGCCCAGCGGCGTGTGGGCGGCGGCACCTGGGAGGGGAAGCCCCGAGTGCCCGAGGCCTGGTACCCCGGAAACCCTGGGGAAGGAGGGGCCCGGAGGAGATCAGTTTCTCCAGAGTTGTGCAACTGCCCGGGCAGGGAGTCGAACATTTCCGCCCACGTCCCCCGCGCAGCCGGCCGGCGCCCACCCGGCGGAGTCCGAACCAAAAGCGAAAGGAGTCGCGTCCCGGCCCGGCGTCCGCAGGGAGGTCGCCGCGCGCTTCCAGTTCGGCGGGGCCTCCACTTTGTGACTTCACTCGTTTCGCAACAAGCCCGGGCCGCTCGCGCCCCACCCACCCCGGCCCGCCGCTTCGCCGCCCGCAGCCTCCTCGCTCTCCACGCTTCCCTCCGTCCCCGCCGGGCCTGCCTCCGCCGTCGCGGAGCCGCCGTCCCGCCGCCCGTGGCTGAGCGCGCGGCGGCCGCCCGGAGCGCTGGCACGTGGGGCCGCCGCCCCCGGAGCAGCCCGCCCCGTCCAGCGGAGCGCGCACTGCCGGCGGCGCGATGCCCTTCTTCCTGAAGGGAATGGCCTTCGTCCCCTTCCTCCTGGTGACCTGGTCGTCCAGCGCCTTCATCATCTCCTACGTGGTCGCTGTGCTCTCCGGGCACGTCAACCCCTTCCTCCCCTACATCAGGTGAGATGGGCAGGGCGGGTGGCGGGCCGGTCGCGCAGGGCGTCACGGAGCGCGCTGCTGATGCCCAGGGCAGGGAGCCGGACCCAGCGGGCTCTTGCCGACCGACCGAGTGCGGCCTGATTACGAGGGGACGCTGCGTCCTGGCAGGTGTGTGTGCAGCGAGTGTGCAGCTGAGCAGTCCCTGAACACTGGACAGAGTGGCATCAGGAGGGGTTTGGGACAGGCAGAACTATACAGAACTTTCGGACTGCGTATGGGACAGAATCGCTGGAAGATGCTTCTTTGGCGATGATGGATGCCATTCACCGAGAATGCAAGTTGGGGATCCAGGTGTGAGCTCAAACGGCACACGTTTCGCTTCTGCTTCCCAGCATCCTGGTGAAGTGGATGTCTGGTTCGGTTTTTTTTCATGAAAAGAAACTAAGTTTCAGCAGATGTTGAAATATCATCAGTGTGACACTGATGTCACAGCTAGGAAATAGTGGAAGCAGAGTTCACACCCAGGTTCGTTCCAAGCCAGAAGCAACACTGTAGGTCTTTCGGATTCAGGCTTAAGCTCTTCTGGATGGAGCTGCCCCCAACCCCTCTGGGTTCTGTTGCCCCCAAAGTCAGAGCTCTCAAGTTGTCAACGGCTTGTGACATCTCTTGTGTTGTCATTATGCCACTTCATTTTTCATGAGTTTTGGTCCCCACCTATTTAGGGTCACTTTATTACCCGGGCACATGTCCTGATTCTCTCCGTGTGGCTCCCAACTCTGTGCCTTGTCCGTGGCAGTGTTTATTAGAACAATTCATTTTTAGCCAAGTGGTGTGACTCCTCTAGGTCTATATTGGCTGGTGGGATAATAAAGTGGGTGACAGCGAAGTTTGTAGAGATAATACCGATTTTAGGGCCTCTCTCTCCTGCAGCCCTTCTGTCTTGTGTGCAATATTCTATAATGTTTTCTTTGTGGGCGAGGAAAGAGAAATGAAGATAAGGCAAGAGGATTCTAGAGTTTAGAGATGCAAGGAAGGGAGCATTCCGGAGACAGGGCAAATCTGCAGTCGTGGTGGTGGTTTTGCCCACACAGAAGGAGGTGTTCCATGCATCAAGCAAACTTCCTCATGTGGCCTTGTGCCCCTGCCGAAACCTGAGGGGCTTGGGGTTTCGTGGCTCATCTTGGTCCCATGTGCCACTGTCTCGCTCCTCTTGATTCCAAAGCAGGGTAGATGATCTCAGACTTGTGTTAAAAGCTTCTCTCATTGCAATGTGTGTTTTTGTTTTTAAATTTTTGGTAATAATTTAATTGAGCCCAATTGAAGACATATGCTAGGGAACAATATCTCAGATGCTCCTCTCCCTGCATTACTTTTCATTGAGAAAAGAGTAAGTGTGTTTATCCCGGATCTGAAGGTCAGGGGAAGATAATATTTGATATGCGTTGGTCAGGCAGCCAGAAGCAGGGTTTGGGTCTTTGTAGAGGTGTCTGATATAGTTGTGATTAATACCACCATAAGGTGAACTTGAAATGGAAGACGTTCAGAAATGGGGAAATGAGCTGACAGATGAACCACTTGTGAGATGCTCCAATCACAGACCTGCCAGGGAAGAGGCTTTAAATTTTAACAAGGAAAAGAAGCCTGTAGGAAAAGCAGAATTATGGGAGAAAAAGGCATGAGGTTGTTCCCTTGTTGCCAGGAGTCATCAGCCTACACACCAACACTAAACAGGTACATTGTTTTCCCACATGTGCCTGGGGCTTTTAAGCTGTTTTTGCTCTCTGCCTGCAACAGCAGCTGGAGCAGGACTTGCTCTGCCCCTCCTAGAAAATCAAGTCATTGAGGGAAGCGCAAGATGTAGAGAAGAGCTAGGCGTCAAGCCCTGATGGTAGTGCCAGATTTATCAGTTTTGCCCAGAAATGTTCAGCTTTGTCTTCTATAACTCATCTCTGCTGTCAGTACCTCTTACTCTTCCTTACCCCCACTCCCTCCACTTCTTCCAACCACGTTAGCTTCCTTCCTGTCTTGAATGTGTCAGAACTCCTCTGTATCCAGTCTTATTGTTCACCATAACACCTATCACCCTCTAACAAACTATGTGATTTACTTACTTATGTTGATTACCTGTCTTCTCTCTGGAGTTTAAGATTCATAAAGGCTCTCGGTATTTGTTGAGTTGATATCTCTCGGGAACTCACAATGGGTGTTGTTATTCTTCCTCCTAGGCCAGGATAGATAGCTTTAGGGAAGGCTTGATCAGGTCTTTGGTGGTTGGGATGTACAGATACTCCTTGACTTTGAGGTTACATCCTGATAAACCCAACTTAAGTTGAAAATACCAACTTATCCCTGGTCCATTTGGCTCAGCAGTTAGAGCATCGACCCGCGGACCAAAGAGTCCTGGGTTCAATTCCAGCAAAGGGCATGTACCTCGGCTGTGGTTCTTCCCCGGCCCCAGTGGGGGTTGTGCAGGTGGCAACCAGTCGATGTGGCTCTATCACATTGATATTTCTCTCTCTCGCTCTTCTTCCTGCTGTATCTGAAGATAAATGTAAAAATATCCTCGGGTGAGGAAAAAAATAAAGAAAATATCGACTTAAAGAACGTTCAAATCTGTAGAGAATTTTTTTCTTTTTAAAATATTTTATTATTGTTTCTCTTGTTTTGTAGAGAATTTTTGAACAAGTTTATTTGAGCCAAACTGATGATGTGTTCTGGGAGCAAGATCACACTGCTCCTGAGAAGAATAGTTTGGCAGGTTTTTTTTTATGCATTTGAAATTAAGGAGAGAACATGAAGGTGGGAGGAAGTAACTCTGGGATTGGATTACAGGACAGTTAGCAAGCTTATGTGCTCTCTGGAGGGTTGATACCCCCTTCATGGAATGTTGCTTCTGGTATTGCAAAGGTGTGTTAATCTAGATGCACAAAAACAATGAACTGGTTTAAAAGAAGTTCTATGCCTGGCGCATGACTGCCCACCATGACATGCCCATTTAGGAATTTATAATCAGGTCACCCTGTGAGGTTATTTGGTTATTTTCCATACCCCCCCCCTTTTTTTATTTAGTACACCTAACCTACTGAACACAATAACTTAGCCTAGCTTACCTTAAACATGCTCAGAACACATACATTAGCCTATAGTTGGGCAAAATCACATAACAAAAAGCCTATTTGATGATAAAGTGTTGAATATCTCATGTAATCTATTGAAGACTATACTGAAAGTGAAAAACAGAATGGTTGTATTGGTACTCACCATTGAGCATTAACACAGCTGAAAGTACACTGGGAAGAATGTTGAAGCATTGGATGTTTGAAGCATTGAACTAAAACAAAGAATGCTGGCAACACAGTGCACTGCAGAGCGTTGGTTGGTAACCCTGGTGACGGCCTGCCTGCCTGGGAGCCGGGGCCCATTGCCGCTGTCCAGCATCACCAGAGCATTGTACCCAATATTGCTCGCCTGGGAAAAGATCAAATTTCAAAATCTGAAATATAGTTTCCTTTGAATGCCTATTGCATTTGCACCATGGTAAAGTAAAAAATCACAAGTAGAACCATCATAAGTCAGGACCATCTATATTTAAGATGAGTCTCTTTTTACGTGATGACATTGTTCAGCCCACTAAATGTTCTGATGTTTGTTTGCTTTTTAAACAATGTTGACTACTTTGAGTAAGAAAGAGCCATTGCATTTTAATTAAAAGCCAGAGCCCTGGGAGGACCACTATCCAGTATGACATCCAGACTAAGTTTCCTTATCAGATACTGTCTTATACATTGTTACTCTTCAGTTGGATAAATGGGCAAATAGCTCTTAGACATATAGAAAGATGCTCAACCTCATGAATCAAATAAAAATTCAAATTAAAACTCACCGGCACAATTTTTTATCTGCTACATTGGCAGAAACCCAAATGTTTGACACACTCTCTTGGTGAGACTTTGGGGAAACAGGTTCTCATATGTTGCTGGTGGGAATGTAAATTGATTTGCTCTCTAGAAAGGGACTTTGGTATTATCTATCAAAATGACAAAAATATATATCTGTGCGGTTACAGCATTGCTTTCAATAACAAAAATTTGGAAACCATATAAATATCCATGAGTAGAGGACTGGCTAAAGAAATATACTTTATCCAAAGAAGATCTCTAACTCTATGCATAGAGTACTCTTTAAATTAATACACTGATATGGAAAAATCTCTGATACATTGTTACGTAGAAAAAGCGAGATGCAGAACAGAATATACTACCAATTAGTGGAGGAAGTGGGGCTTGAGGGGCAAAGGTGAGGGTAGTATACATTTGTATTTGCTTACATAGAGAAACTAGTGAAAGTGGTTTATCTGTGTGTGATGGACAAAGTAGGTCATGGTCAAGGGGACCTTAGCAGATGAGAAATAAGGTGGAAATAAGACCTTTTTTACTTTAAAAAAATTAATCTTTTTACTTTGAGATAATTGTTGATTTACATGCAGTTATAAAAAATAATACAGAAAGATCCCATGTATCATTTATCCAGTTGATCTCAAAGGTAACGTCTTGCAAACGTGGAACACCTTTTTGTATGTAGTTATTTTTTAGCCAAATGGATGGGTTTCCTGTCAGAAAATTAAATTAGAAACATGGGATTCAAACAGCTGTTAAATTTAACAAGTTGGAATAACACAGTGTAATGTTTCTGGATTATGAGAATATTAACACAAGGATATCAAAACCAAGGACATTGCCCGGCCCGTGTGGCTCAGTGGTTGAACATTGACCCATACACCAAGAGGTCCCTGGTTCGATTCCCAGTCAGGGCACATGCCCAGGTTGTGGGCCCGATCCCCAGTAGGGGGCCTGCTCTTTTGTCAATGTTTCTCTCTCTCTCTCTCAAATCAATAAAGAAAAAAAATTATACAAAAAATAAAGGACAAACAAAAGTCAACATGGAAGGATTAGTTTAGATTTTTCAATGTTACAGCCACATTCTTGAGCACCATCATGGTTAATTTGTCATAGTTTCTTATA